GTTGAGCTGTCGTAATCCCGTTTCCATAAATTAATACCGTAGAGGGAGTAACGATTTCGATTTCGATTTCGATAATCATCTTTAGACGAATTCATAAGTTTTACACATTTCCGTATTTACTTTGGCAGGGAGAAACCGGCTCAATAGGGGTAAAAAACATAATGCCTACCATTGCACAAAATCAAATAGAAGGAATAGCAAAAGTTGAACTAGCAAAAGGAGCAGGCGATTATTGGCCATCAAACTGACTTACCACTTGTCCACAAAGGAACAAAAGTCTGCAGAATAGCGTCCATCATTTGGAAGTTTTGGTGGTGGCTCTTCAATAATTTTACTGAGAATAGCAAATTCAAATTGAGAACCTTTGTACGGGAAAGACTTGAGAGCAAGCTCGACTAACGATATTCCAAGGGACCATATATCAGCCCGAACGTCATATTTAAATTTCTCGAGCCTCTCCGGCGCCATATACCCAATGCAGCCGAGCTGATTCGAATTCGCAATGGAATCCTTGAGTTGCCCACTGATTCCAAAATCGCATAATTTAATATCACCGCTGGAGCTTAAGAGCATATTTGATGGTTTAACATCTAGACACAAATTGCATAAAAAACAAAGCATACCTCGATGCATCATATTATGCTCTCTCTTGAGGTAGTCCAATGCTTTTACGATCTAAGAGGGTAAGACTGCAAGAGAACATACCGAAACAGCAATTTTGCCAAGAACATATTCTGGAAAGGGTTCTACGGTGTCCCGCATAAGTTTATCAAGAGAGGTTGACATAACTTCCATACAAATCCATACCTCAGACTTAGGAAAATTGCTAGCGTCATTACCAACATACCATAGAGAAGAAAATTCCCATACACTTTACAATATTCGGGCAGCCAACACATTTCGTAACAACGTCCAAATCCATCATAATTCTTTTATTTTCCACAGCACAAGTCGACGAAACATGCATTTGTTTGACAGCCATAACAAGATCCCGTCTTTCTTTGTGCCGCATTTTTTTAACCACTCCGCAAGTTCCTGCACCTAACTGGCCCTCATCAATAAAGTCATCCTTAGTTGCAGTAATTCTCTAGACGATTAATGCCAAAGATTAACAAACCTCAAAATTATAACAAAGGTCACCACTCTTTTTAAGAAGCATTTCTTTAAGTTGATTAAATTCAATATGCTCCGATGGAGGTGGAGTAGAAACTTCAGGAGGACGTCGGCCGTGGTATGGAGTTGCCGAAGCAGGGCGACGCAAAATTACTAGACCATAAAGCAAAAAATTAATCGTACACTCAGTTGGTCGCTGACACTTTTGTGGTGTCCGACGTGGCGATTCAACAACGCTGTTTGTCACGTCTTTTGGAACTGGACGAACTAAGTTCATTGAAAGCTAGCTAAGAAACGATTCGAAAGAAACGCTACGGCAGTCAGGACAGTTAAACTACGTCTCAAGTAGCTGCGATGTCAATTTACAGAATATAATTTTACATTACATAAATTAATGCGCAATAGCAGCAGATTCTCTTTAGCTTTTAAAATCAAAAAGGGTTTACTTAAAAGTGCCTCAACATGTTAAATTTACGCAAAAACTATAATAAACATGTAGCAATTAGTAATTTAAAAAATTGATTAAAGTACTATGTTTTACATGGACTTTGTTTAAAATTATTGCACAGTTAAATGAATTTATTGGACACAGTCAGATAAGTACCGTAATATATATAGCGCGTCTAGAGCCTTTTGTAGCGTCTCGAGGCTCCAAATGGAGTAGTAGAAGGCATAAGTGAGGTTGAATACATGTGTTCCGAAAACAATAGGACAAATGGGGCCTAAGCGTGGGCCGAAGGTCAGCTCACGTGTACTGGGCCTAGTCAAGTTCTAAAGTGCCCGCTAAACGTCAGATAGTCACCTAAACAAAGCATTAAACCTTTGTTCTGGGTAGAAGAAGGCAGTAAGTGGGATTGGGTACTTGTATTCTGAAGCGAACAGAACGACTGAGCTTGAGTGTGTCCCGAAGGCCAGCCCACACGTACAAGAGCCAAACAAATCTTAAAGTGACTGATGAATGTCATATAGTTACATAAACAACACATTACAATATATATTTATTTTTACGTTTGCTCCAATATAGAAGAAGTGGAAAGTCAATTTTAACGCAATGCCTCTGAGTGAGGATCCTGAGGATTCCCCCTCCCGTTGATACCTGCCATCCGGCTCACCTTTACTCCTATCCACTCACTTCCTGTAATCAATGCTTAATAACTCTACTGCAACTAACTCTTCCTTAAAATCCGTGGTTCAAGGGCATGAGGCAGTTCCTACAGTTACAGCCCGTAACAAGAGAGGCACATTTAAATGTAGGAGCCATTTTCCGCATAGATCCTCACACTTCTCATGCAAGGCTTTTAAAAAGCCGGTTGCATCTGGGTGGGAGCGCAGCCTACCTTTAGGCAATTAAACACTTGGCTTCATATGAGGGTTAATCGTGAAGGGTTTATTGGACATCCTGTACAAAGTATAAACCAGTATAAGTACCGATAAGACGACGACCTAACGTTATTCTTTGGATATATCCTGGCATCTTTACACACAAAAACCATGTGTGAATTTTGTTATGAGTGCTGATGTGTTTAATTTACTTTCTTAGGGGAGAGTCGGTTAAGCATTACGAACACGAATTCTGTTTGTGAGAAGCTTGAAGATGCGTCCTTATGATGGCCTCCACTTGACATCTCATCTATTCTCTACCCATATTTTGTGTCAATGGTGTCAAATAAATATTCCTTAAACAACTCTCTTGTGAAGTCAGAGGTTCAGACGACTGAGGATGGGCAGCCAGTTCCTACAAGTTCATCACCTGCCTCTCCCTTATAAAGGCATCTTAGGCACATTATTTATATTACAGCAATTCTTTTATTAGCACAACTTGAACGTTTTTGTACACAACAAAAGTTAAACGAATCCATGGTAATGTTTCCTAT